TAGGGACATAGGGCTTGCGTACGAATTTGAGGGTCTGCCACTGCTTAGATGGCGGGTTTGTGCTGTCCTGTAATAAATTATCACACAGATGTTGTCGCTTATCTTTTTTGACGTGCCGTTTAACTGCCTTACGTAAGCGGGTGAGACGCTCATAGTCGTTGGCAGGAGTCTGCTGGACTAAATCAATCAGGTTCTTGGTTGTAATACAGAGATATTCCTTTTCATATGGAGTGTCCGTAGTGGGCTTCAGAGAAGAGGAGCTTTGTAATACTGTTTCAAGGAGAAACTGTGCTTGAGAGTCCAGTGCGCCTGGCATCTGATACTGGGGAGTGACAGTGTGCAGGGGCAGCCGGGGGGGATTGGAGTGTCTACCGAGGTTGGAGGAATTTGTCACGCCGTGGAAGGCCAATTTGTCGGCCCGTTCATTGCCTTCGTGGCCTACGTGGGCTCGGATTTTGAGGATGGCCAGGTCTATTCTTTGAGTGGCCATCTCTCTCAGACGGCGGAGGATGGAGACGAGTTCTGGGCGGGCGGACGGGATATTGAGGTCGTGGGCAATGTTATAAACGAGCATGGAGTCAGTATAAATGTCGACTGTAAGATTTGAAAACTTAGCGGGGCGACGGAGCATATAATCTACGGCCTCAATTAGGGCCTGAAGCTCTGCTGAATTATTGGAGCCGATGGGCGTAAAATTCAAGTTTTGCCCTACTGGTCCAAAGGAGTCTATCCAGTTGAAGTCCTTTTTGAATGTAAATGCCCACCCAGCCGGGTTACCCGGCCGAATGTCATACTGGTTCAGGCAAGAGCCGTCTGTGTATATCGTAATTGACCCTGTGATGGAGTAATCTCGTAAGGGACGTGTCGGGACGTTTGGCAAGTCGGATGGAAAAAGGGAGCGGTATTGAATTTTCTCCGCGTCGGTGCGAGGAACTAAAGTTTTGGGGGAAGGGGGTTTACGAGGAGGAGAGAATTTATCAAAACAAAGGGAGAATTCGACAGGGAAGTGTCTGTGAAACCATGGGAGCTTGTGTTCGAATCTTGATAGTGTGTTTGTGACATTGCGCGCATGTCGATGCGACACTAGCACATGATCTATGGCCGCAAAGTCCGACGGGGTCGGCGAGTGGTGTGAGATAGACGGGTCTGAAGAGATTTCTCGGTATGTAATAATTCTGGCCGGCGGTCGCTTGAATCTAGAAGACGCAATAGTGAATTCATTTTGTATGAGGAAATCTAGCAAATGAGAATAGTTGGAGTCCAAATCGAAGGGCGTGTCATGCGGAAAAACCGCTGGGCCGATGTAATGTGAATACTGATCGAGGGAGTCGTTCACGATTCTGGCATTGAAGTCGCCTGCTATCACTACGATAGCCGGGTAGGGCAGGAGTTTGAGCATTTCTGGCAATGTGTCCCAAAAATGGGTTTTCCTTACTCTATCTGCCTGTGGGCCCTGTAGCATGGAAGGGGCATAGAGTGTTACCACATGAGTGGGGATGGGTTGGGTGCGCAAAGTTAGCGCGGCCAGTCTTCCAGAGAACGGAAGAAAATCGGATACCAAGGGGAGAGTATGGGGGGGACATAAAATCCTACTCCCGCCGAGGGCTCAGTAGTAACTCCCGAAAGGAGAAACTTTCCCCCCAGAGGGAAGTAATCTCATTGGAGGAGGTAGACTTTGTTTCCTGGAGACAAATTAGGTCTTTTGAATAGGTTCGGCAGGTCGAGGCCAGAGCTTCATATTTGCCTAAACCTATCATTGTTTCCACGTTCCATGTAAGGATACTGAGTTGATTTTGGCGAGGCCGCCATGATAACAAACGCGAGGGCAGGTCCAGCATAGATGCCTGGACGTAATTTCGGAAGAGGAAGGTACGGGATCCCAGTGTGGGGGTGTACTGGAATTGTTTATAAGCTCTTTGGAGTTGTTGAGGACTATTAGCAACCCTTTTCCGGGGACTGCCAGGGCGGGCTAGGGTAAATTTCCCGGCCTCCAGCATTGAAGATATCCATAACCGATAGTCTCTACGGGACTTTCTGCGTCGATTATTATAGGCGAGGTGCCTGCGAAGTCGGGCATCGGCCAACCGTAAATTTTGGTGTGACGTTGTGTCCCCGGACGCACTGCGAGATTCGTGACCACTATAGTCTAACTGTATACGGTTCTCGAAGGGATGTAAGGCAAAAAATGGAGCAAGCAACTGTTTGGGTGAGTCGTGGTCTCCCGGCTTGCCGCTGGCGGCTCTCGCGGCGAGAATGCGGCGATGTAAATTTTTTGCTTTATTATGATAGTAAACCTGATAATGCTTTAGACCCTTTCTGTAAAACCACACAGAGAGATGATTCTTACAATTGTGGAAGTGGTGTACCATCATTCCATTACCTAGTTGAAAAGCCGGCTTATTAAAGTGTCTATTGTGCTTTGGGAATAGTTTGGGATAAAGGTCACAATGGCATATTGTACATTGTGTATTTCCATTCATTGCATGCGTCCATCGGTTTCTTTTTCGTCTCGAAATTCTGAATCGAGGGTTGACTCGCCCGCGATGAGCTTCATAAGTGTGTCGTCCTGGTCGAGGAAATCCGCTAGGTCCTCGGCTAATGTTTGGAAGAGGTCTGTAGCGACTCTTTCGAACGAACATATCATGAGCCACGGAAAGACGTCTTGGTGCCACTGCAGAGGTTGCGGCTCTGTGGAGGACTCCATTTGAGCATGCTCGTAAGCTAATCGGAAGGAGGAAGCAATCAGAATGTCCCAAGGCATGACTGGGGAGTGCGCTATGTCGGCTCTTGCCGCCCAAATTCCAATCTTTTGGCCAAATATTGGCCGGACTTTTGCCATATCTGGTGGAGGAGGGTCTTGAACCAGCCTGCCGTGTAAAAAGTTGCTAGCAGGAC